CCATTCCTGATCTCTCTGGTCTTAGTCGTTTACAGACTCTCAATCTACACGACAATCTCTTTGATTCTGTACCTAATAATCTCTTCTCTGGTATGAGTTCTCTTCAAGAAGTGTATCTCGAGAACAATCCGTTTAATCCTTGGCAAATTCCAGACTCCATTAAAGAAGCTACGTCTCTTCAGAATCTTACACTCTCCAATTGCAGCATTTTTGGAAAGATCCCAGATTTCTTTGGTTCTCAGTCACTTCCGAGTCTGACGAATCTGAAACTGTCTCAGAATCGTTTACAGGGAGAGTTACCGGTGAGTTTTGCTGGTACTTCGCTTCAGTCTCTGTTCTTGAATGGTCAAGTGGGAGAGCAGCTTAATGGATCGATCTCGATATTGAGGAATATGACTTCGCTCGTTGAGGTTTCTCTTCAAGGAAATAAGTTCTCAGGTCCGATTCCTGATCTCTCCGGTTTGTTATCTCTCCGTGTGTTTAATGTTAGAGAGAATCAGCTTACTGGTGTTGTTCCACAGTCTTTGATTAGTTTGAATTCGCTTACTACTGTGAATTTAACCAACAATTTGCTTCAAGGACCGACTCCGTTGTTTGGCAAATCCGTTGGTGTTGATATATTCAACAACACGAATAGTTTTTGTACTAGTATAGCTGGTGAGGCTTGTGATCCTCGTGTGGATACTTTGGTGTCTGTAGCTGAATCATTTGGATATCCAGTGAAGCTTGCGAGTAGTTGGAAAGGAAACAATCCGTGTGTTAACTGGGTTGGGATTACTTGTTCTGGAGGTAACATTACGGTGGTTAATCTGAGGAAACAGGATCTTTCGGGTACGATATCCGCGAGTTTAGCTAATCTTACTTCATTGGAGACTATCAATCTTTCTGATAATGAACTCTCTGGGCCTATACCGACTGAGCTTACCACTTTGTCTAAGCTTCGGACACTCGATGTGTCTAACAACGATCTATATGGAGTCGTGCCAAAGTTTCCGAACACTGTACATTTGGTGACTGAAGGGAACGTTAATATCGGAAAGACCGGACCTATCTCACCGAGTGGTTCTCCTGGAGCTTCACCAGGAAGTAAACCTTCAGGAGGAAGTGGTGGCAGTGAAACTTCTAAGAAGTCAAGCAATGTCAAGATTATTGTTCCTGTGGTTGGTGGAGTTGTTGGTGCATTGTGTCTGGTTGGGCTTGGCGTGTGTCTCTACGCGAAGAAAAGGAAGCGACCTGCTAGAGTTCAGAGTCCATCCAGCAACATGGTTATTCATCCACATCATTCGGGTGACAACGATGACATTAAACTCACTGTTGCAGCTTCTAGTCTTAACAGTGGGGGAGGAAGTGAGAGCTACAGTCACAGCGGAAGTGCGGCAAGCGATATTCACGTTGTGGAAGCTGGGAACTTAGTTATATCGATACAGGTCTTGAGGAACGTGACGAATAACTTCAGCGAAGAGAATATTCTCGGGAGAGGTGGTTTCGGGACAGTTTACAAAGGTGAACTCCACGATGGAACGAAAATAGCTGTGAAGAGAATGGAGTCCTCGGTTGTGAGTGATAAGGGACTTACTGAGTTTAAATCTGAGATCACTGTTCTGACTAAAATGCGCCATCGTCATCTCGTTGCACTTCTTGGGTACTGCCTTGACGGGAACGAGAGGCTCCTTGTCTATGAGTACATGCCTCAGGGGACACTGAGTCAGCATCTGTTTCATTGGAAAGAGGAAGGGAGAAAACCACTAGACTGGACTAGACGGCTGGCGATTGCATTGGATGTAGCTCGAGGTGTCGAGTATCTGCACACACTTGCGCATCAGAGCTTCATCCATAGGGATCTAAAGCCATCAAACATCCTTCTTGGTGATGATATGCGCGCTAAAGTCTCTGACTTTGGGTTAGTCCGTTTAGCCCCTGATGGCAAATACTCCATCGAGACCCGAGTCGCTGGGACTTTCGGATACCTTGCCCCAGAATACGCAGGTTTGTAATCTCTTTGTACTTGCCATATATTAAAGTTTCATCCTTTCAATTGATTTGCAATTTACCCAAATGTCAAAGTTTCATCCTTTGATCGTTTTGCATTTACCCAAATGTCAAAGTTTCATTCTTTGATCATTTTGCAATTGCTCTATGCTCTTATTTTGGCAGTGACGGGAAGAGTGACGACGAAAGTAGACATTTTTAGCCTTGGGGTCATACTTATGGAGCTAATCACTGGTCGTAAAGCCCTAGATGAGACGCAACCCGAAGACAGCGTTCATCTAGTCACATGGTTCCGAAGGATAGCAGCCAGCAAAGACGAGAATGCCTTTAAAAACGCAATTGACCCAAACATCAGCCTCGACGACGATACCTTAGCCAGTATTGAAAAAGTCTGGGAGCTTGCTGGTCATTGCTGTGCCCGTGAGCCTTACCAAAGACCTGACATGGCTCACATCGTTAACGTCCTTTCTTCACTCACCGTCCAATGGAAACCAACTGAGACCGACCCAGATGACGTCTACGGGATAGACTACGATATGCCGCTTCCGCAAGTGCTTAAGAAATGGCAAGCTTTCGAGGGACTTAGCCAGACCGCGGATGACTCGGGTTCTTCGTCTTCGGCTTATGGAAGCAAAGACAATACACAGACAAGTATCCCAACTCGTCCATCTGGATTTGCTGACTCGTTCACTTCTGTGGATGGACGTTGAAGCAATCAAGATTGCGTAAAACGTTTTAGTAGAAGAAGAAGATGAAGCATTGTGTGATAAATCTCTCTCTCTCTCTCTCTCTCTCTCTCTCTCGCTTTTTTTTTTGCCTGAAGCATTTACTTATGACTTCGTTTTTACCTACTGCAAACTTTTGGTTAGTGTATTTATGTTTATGCAAAGACAACGATCTTTGAGGTCTTAAAATTATTTTTTCGTCAGAAAAACGAATTTTGTAACAAAATTGAATATCCAACTCCTAAACCGTAAAAGCTGAAACCAAACAATATTTTGAATTCAATGCGTTTATGTAAAAGTTAACGGAAAATCAGATTTGACTATTTTAACACGAAATATTAATAAACATCGATGTTTTATTTATAATTTCAGTGTAAGTTTGTAATTGTTTTTTTTTTTTTTTTAAAGTTCATGTAGGAGTGGTTAATTTGAATTGTAAAATTATACACAATGCATTTAGGGTGTTTCTCTGAAATAATCTGAAGGAATTAAATGTTTAGTTGGAAGCATTTGAACCTCTGATGTATGTACTTATATCCCAAGCCCAATTTCGGTGTGGTTTGGATTTGGACCATACATACATGCACCCACTGGGATATCAAAGCAGCCTTTGAAACACTCTCTCCGTATTCATTCAGTTTGCTTTGAGCCAGTTGGTCCTACCCCTTCTCAATGAGCTCTTTAGCCAAATAACATTCAAAGAGAGTAGAGACAATGCTTTATTACAAGCCGAAGATCCATTACATCTGCAGTTTCAAAAGTACAAGAATAACACTGATCAATATCAAAATAAATGAAATATAAGATTTTGTTGCCCCTGATTTTATAAAGAACAATGTCCAATCTTCAGCAATCTTGACATTGTTCTTTATAAAATCAAAGGTTACACACCAATTCCACATAATATAGGAATGTTGACATTTAGTCGTTTTTGCTATAAAAAAAAAACAACATTTGAGCCATATTTCATATATATATATCTACAACAATTTAGTGAAATATGGCTCTAATGTTGTTGTTGAATTTGCATTATTTTTGGAGCTCATATATCTAATCTTTTTCATAAAAATTACTACATCAAAAAACATCTGGTGTTATCTTCTCTAATTACATAAAAAAAAAAAAGTTGTGAAGGGTTTTATAAATGATAACTGGTTCTTTACGTGTAAATGGTCAAGTTTGTCTAATTTAGTTATAATTTTAAAACGTGCGAAATAAATTAAACAAACACTTGTTATTTCATGTTTTAATAGTCATCACAAGTATTTGTAAATGGTATGTATTGAACGAAATCATATTTCCAAAACATAAAAACGTAAAAAAGTATATATCACGTTTTTAGTAATTCATGTGTGTGGGCTATACGTATTATCTCGAATAGGGAAAATTTCCGTCATATGTTGTATCGCGGTGGAATGCCATAGAAACATTTGCCTAAAATTAGAATTTTAATTTATTTCTTTATTTTTTATAATATATAAATGCTACTATAGTCCTTATCAAAATACTTTATTATTATTTTCTGGTTTTAATATTCATCTTTACAAATTTTAAGTGATAAATATTTATAATTTATAAATTATGAACAAAAGATAAAATATTTCTTAGGATACTTTAACTAAATCTGTAACAAATTTCACCAATCTATTTAAATTTCAATTGTCTATGTATGCGAATATCAAGCAATACTCTAGTCTCCCCTTAAGTATAGTATGTATGTGCTGGATTTGAATTTGGCTAAGATATTATTATGTGTACTTGGAGCGGTTTTATTTTCGACATCTAATATTCCTATCTATGTATATATTATTATGTACTGTGTATGTTGAAAATGATATAATTCTAAATTTGATAAGTTGTTTCCTTGGAAATTTCGGAGTAAATATAGGAAGCTTTGCTTACCTTTATCGCACCATCTAAATTATAAAGACTACCTTTATGCCCCTCAAAGTCAAATCATGTCCACTCATTTAAATTATTATAATTTGCATATTAATCACCTCATTAGTATTAGTTACATACTTATCGATTTATCTAGAAAAAAACAAACAATAATTTTTGTGAAGGTTAAAAACTTAAAAGTTACACGTTTCATATTCCCGCCTGCTATCCATTTTAGGTATAAAAGAGCCACAGTTATTGTTGACTCTGTGGACTTTTGATTTTTCCCTTATTTTTTATATTAATTTTCATTTATTTTCCTTTTTTAATTTATTATTCTTCGCAAAACACAATATATAATTAATTGAAACATTCCTTCTCACCAAAAAAAAAATTAATTGAAACATTCCTAATATCATTTCTTTAATATTTCGTTTGCCTTCTTCTACTATTTATTCACACTACATATCACACATCTCTCTTCTTCTTTTTGCTTTTGGCCTTCTTCTTCTTCTTCCTCAAGAACCCTAAATATATTTCATATTTTTTGGATGATTTTGATCGGAGAAATATAAAATCTGCTCATTTGATCTATCAAAGGAACTCAGTTTCTCATACCAAAATGAATCTGGTACAACTTTTTTTTTTTTTTTTAATATTTTTCTTATTAATTTCATGTGTATCCATCCCCTGTTTCTAATTTGTTCATCATAAATCCTAATAAGTTTCAAAATTTCTGCAGTGTTTTTTTTTTTATTGCAAACAAATCTCTTAAGTACAAAAAAAATATATTAGAAACAAGAAAATTTCTGCAGAAGTTATCCTTTAAATTCAAAGTTATGAAATGATTATTTCATATAATCCATTTATAAGTGTCAAATTTCTGCAGATTCGATATCCATCAAAAAAGTAATTATAATTTTTTGTTGTTGTTGTTGCAAACTGATTTCTTCATATATAAAACCTTCACATCAAGTCAATAAAGTTTCAAATTTTTACAGATTTTATTTTTTTCCGGATTATATCCCTTTAATTAAGTTTTTTTTTTTTTTTCTTCATATAACCTATGTATAAATTCATTATAAAATTATAATGATAATTTGTTGCAGAGTGAGAAGAGAAGAAGTGAAGAAGATTGGATTGATACACTACTGAACTCAGAGTTCTTTGGGATATGTATGAATCATAAGTATCTTCGAAAGAACGAGAAAAATGTGTTTTGCATTGATTGTAATGTGGAAATCTGCAGACATTGTTGTAACACAGTTACAGATTCACATTACCTCCATCGTCGTCTTCAGATCTGCAAATACGTTTATCAAGATGTTCTTCGTCTCTTCGATATCCAACACTACTTCGACTGTTCCGAGATTCAGGTTTTTTTTTTTTTTTTTTAATATCTAAATCATTCAATAATTAATTAAAAAAATCATTTGATTACCAGCTGAGTCTTTAATTCTTGTTTAGAGTCTATAAATTCCAAATTTAATGTTTTTATTTTGGTATTGGTTGGCAATAATTTATGTATGGGGAAAAAGACATATAAAATAAATGGAGAGAAGGCAATACATTTGAATTCAAGGCCACAAGCAAAAGATGCAAGACCTTCGACAAAATCCAAGAATGGTGCTTCATGTGTGACTTGTAAAAGATATATTCAAGATCGTCCTAATCGATTTTGCTCTATCTCCTGCAAGGTAATATATGGTATCTCAATTTCTTTTTTGTTAAAGTTTTATATTGCCATATGCATTTTGTTTTGATTGGTCTATTGGTAGTTATCAAGGGTTTAAAAAAATCTTTCACAGAATAATCTTTATATGCTAAAAATGTTAGTCTTGAGGCATATATTTTGACATAACATATAGGAAGATCTTATCAGTGATTTGCATTTCACACATTTTAAACTCTATAATGTTCACACTCAAATATTCATTTGTTTTCGGTTAAAAGATGCTCAAATAATTTTTTTGAAGTGTTTCATTTTAATATTTTTTATTAGAAATAAATATTTTGTTTTGAAATTATCTTAATATTTATTCCATATATAATTTTCGACACGTAACCTACATTAACGAGCATCATTTAATAAAAATTGGAAATTACTTAATCTGTGAGTTGTATACACGTTAAACACGCTTTAAAACGTTAAATTTGCGGTATATCGTTTGAGGTCAAATAGTATAGGAATTTATTTTTGATTTTAGAGCATGCTCTAATAGTTGAAAGACATTTGCTTTATATTTTACCTTTTTTAATATATATTTTTTCTCTGTAGATATCAACTCCTTCAAAAAAGCATAAATTTTGTTTTTCTCCAAAATTGGAACAGAGTGTTTTGGAGAAAGAACACTCTAATCAAGAAGAAAGCTTAGAAGAAAAAAAATCGTGCACATCGTCCCTCACTGATGTTTCAGAAGATTCTGAAGTTTTATTGTGTAATTTTTCATTGAGACCACTCATGAGAATACTCAAGAGAAAAGGAATTTCTCGAAGATCTCCTCTTTATTGAATTTTCATTTTTATTTTGGATTTTGTCATCAAACCATACATTATGTGTATTTTATTTTTAAAAAAGATATTATATCGGGTATCAATATTATGTTTAAAAGTTAATAAGTTTTAAAGAGAAATAGTGATGCTTTGTTTTTTGCTAATCGGCTAAGAAATAGTGATGTTGTGTGACAAAAAAATAAATAATACTAATGTGTAATGGCGTATGTATGAGTGATTTATTTATTATTCATCATGGAGAAAAGAGAGATATGGGCCCAAAAAGTTTTCAAAGTTTTGGTGTTCATGAGATTGTGTTGATTCACTGGAACCCACACATTTTACGAAATAAAATAAGAAAAATGAATATTACACAGTATTCTTAATGCATTTTAGGATAAATTGATAGATACAGTTTTTTTTTTTTTTTCGCCGATAGATACAGGTTTTAATTTGATGACAAATAATGGAATACATTCGTCGTAGAGAATTGTCACTTATACAAATTATGTGGTTTTGGTAAACTCTCCATAACTCAATTCCGATTCTGATATTTTTGCGACATAAATGAAAAAGTGTATACATTTTTTTTTGGTTAAAAATAAAAATGAAAAATTTGACGATTTAACAGTCCAATTATGTATACCGTTTTATGTAACAATTCTTTTTTTTTTCCTTTAAATAAACGACTTTTCAATTTGTCAATATGCATTGTTACAAATTAGAGCAATGGCCCGTAGTTGTTATCGTGACTTTTTGGGTGTTTAGCAAATGTGTCATTTTCCGTCGAAAAAGATATAAAGTACTATCAATCTTTTTACCAAAAAAATATAAATCAATCTTTTTACCAAAAAAATATAAATCAATCTTTAGCAGAAATATACGAAGATATATGCGTACATTATATATCAAATGATCATGATAATGGGTCTACGGCAACTTGTTTTATATATTTATTATATCAGACAACTTTATTTATCAATTAAAATAGTATTACCCAGCATTATCATTTCTTCTCTTTATTATGATAATATATTTGAATATACTAATGTTAACAATTCATAACTAAGAGAAAGAACCGATTGACAAAAAATAAAAGCACCGAAGCAACACGATTATGATAGATTTAATTTAAATTTTTTCGTGAAAGAATATAGATTTAACTTAATATTTCGGCATGCTATATAATTTGTAAAATATCTGAAATTGAGGACAACATAGAAATTATTTATGTTACTTGTAAATTTCACCATTAAAAAAAGAATATCAGATCCAACAAGTATTTTATACTTAGGTCAAAATATTTATGTCTATACAATTTTATTTATTTAATTACAAAACTGAAAATCTAATAAAAAGATGAACATATACTTGTTTTTAATATGATTCAATTTGTTTTAATTTTATTTAAAGATATTTTGATTAGAAATTTTCTTAATTGTGTTAGTTAGAAATAATAAAACAATTAGAAGACAATTAAAGAAAACAAAAAAATAAATATTGACCACCTGGGGCTCACTAGTCAACATAGAGCGTTTTATTGGGCCAGAGACCTTTGTCGCGATCTTTGTCTCGAACAAGAATGAAATTAAACAAAAACAATACTATGATAATCTTTAAAAACAAAATAAAAATCTTTAATCATATAGCATCATCCTCGTCTTATGGCTGGATCACTGTTATTGATAATTATTGACTCGCATTATCAAAAAATAAAAAAATCAATGATAGAAAAAGAAGAATGATGGTCATAATGTTTTGGCAGCAAAATCCACTTTAGAAAATTAGAATATCAAATAGAAGTAAAAGTAATGCAAAAAAAAACTATTAATTGGGTATGATTATGGCAGACAAAAAGTAAAAAATAAAAGAGGAATGTTGTGAGCCAATTGGAGGATATGACAGATTTAACTCAAGGAAACGAGAGAATAGTAATGCATGTGCTTTTTAATCTCAATGTTATGCATGTTCCACATGCCATGTATAACAACATCTCTCTTTATAAAAAAATTAAACTCTTCACTCTTCCAATATTTCTTCTAAACATATATTGATGCAGATAAATTTTTATGCCAAAAGTCTTCATCATAAAATTTAGTCTATGGCTATGGTTGGTAAGTTTTGAGTTTTTGACCACAATAATGGATGATATATAATCTCCTGCAACACAAGGTGGCTTTCTGCGCAAGCTAGGGCTAGCGAATGCTGAGGTTGCGTTTCTTGGATCTCAAGCTATCTTCATAACACCTGTTACAGAGAAACACAGAGGGCACAGCTTCATCGTCTTCGATGGAATTGCAGAGTGTGTGGTGCCAAACCTTGCAAGCATCACAAGCCACCATTCTCTCACCATCATCATCTCTAGCTCCGCATTTGCAGTCAACAGTCCAGTCATCAAAACCACCTTCATACCTTAACTCTGTGCCTATGTCCAGACCAAACCCTTTCACCAGAAACTCTGTAATCCTTTGTGATTTTAGAGCCAAGTTGTCATCTAGCTTCTCCAGATACCTGTTTCTTATCTCCAACACTTCAAATGTCTCCGTTATGAAGTAAGTGTCCCTCAGAGCTTTCTCTGCTGCAAATTTCAGTTCTTTGATGGTTGCGTTTTCAGGAACAACCACGAGTTCACCAGGCGGTAATAACCGTGTGAAGTCTCTAAGTAGTTCTTCATGATTGGGCAGAACTTGGCAGCTAACTGTTAAAGGATTTTGTTCCTGGTAAGACCATTCTTTTATAAAGCTCTTGCAGTTCAAGATAATCTGAGACGCTTCACTGTATGTGTCTGAATCAAGATGAGTTAACAAGATATTCTGATACAGATAGAGAATGTCATCGTACGGACTCAGTCCGGGAGTGGTGGATGTCCATTCATTGATTTCCTGCGGTTTCATTTTCCTTTTCTTTTTCCGTTCTTGCTCTTGAACATGGGAATTGATTGTCCGGAGGGAGAACTGTAACATCCGGCTTTTCGAGTTTGTGAACCTCTGCACTATCTGGTCACCTATTAGAACTTTGTCAATGTGTTTGAGCAAGAAATCAATCAATCCTGTATCACCAATGCTAGTTCTAACAGCCTGTCGAAGCTCATGACGAGTAATGGTACTTTTTCGCTCTTTAAACACTTTGAGAACTGCTTGGGCTGCCTCATTCAACCTCCTTCCAGGCCATCTAGAATTTTCTCTCCTGCCCAAATCATCAAATGAGTAATACTCAGGGGTCTTTATGCCCGCCATTCTAATTTCATGATCATCAAGGACAGTTTCTCTGCCAGATTCATATCCGTTATCATCTGATTCCTGATTAGGGGATGTGCAGACCTCAGTGTTCTCATCAGCTCTAAGGATAGGATATGAAACAGGATCTAAAGACATTGCTACTAGTGTCATTGCAGTCTTCCTCTGAATGGGAGCTTTTGATCTGAAAGCAAGCATGAACCGAAGCAAATCAGAGAGAGTGGCCAATGGGGTTTCACTGGATCCTCTGTAGAAATCGATGATCGTCTTCATCACTCTCCCTTTACTTGTTCCAGAAAAATCTTCAATAACCTTGTCAACTTCTATAGAGCTAAGAGTGAGAATAGCTCGCCAATACTGATCTTTTCTGACCCCAAAGCTTCCATGAGAAAACATATAATCCCATTTCCCAAACCATGGTCGACCATATGCAACACCATGGAGCAGCCTCAGATCGATCGCTCCCTTCTTAGATGTATCATCCAAAGAAATCTTCCTGCAGCCAAATGCATAATCATTGATTTACAACTTCATAAACACACTACTCAGTACTCAATCAACTCACTTTACATTATTCACTCTGGTTTATAATTGGTTTTTGCATTTTAAAACATTTTCAAATCCATACAGATTTGCTTGATTTTAATATAGATTTCCATATGGATTTTTGTATATGTCACTAGATTTTGTTGCAATCCATAGTTTGTGTCAAAACGAAATTTAGATTCAATAAAAATACTCAAGTTCAATCTTAGTTACCCAAGAAACCAAAAAAAATCAAAGGGTTAATAGTCAAAATTTATGTGATTCCATCTCAAAATCAATATATTAGACTAAGTCTCAATTTATTGTCGATGTGGGACATCAATGTCATAGTCACTCCTATAATTAGCAAAAATCTATTCATGCGTCCCCACTCATTGTCAGCTTCAATTCTAAACATCAATGCCACAATTTCTCTTATAACTAGCATACAAATATTTATACAAGTAGAATTTTTAACATCAATGCCACAATCTCTCGTATGATTAGCACAAATCTATCCGTTCCACGCGGAATTCCTAGCATCAATGCTACCATCATCCTTATGATTAGCAAAAAATTATCCGTCCGACGTCGAAATTCCTAACATGAATACAACAAATCATTCCTAAGAATAGCAAAAAAGTACATTATATGTCAATGTGGGAATATCTAACATGAATGTCACAATCTCTGGCCTATAATTAGTAAAAAGAAACAGCTTTTAAGTGTGATCGATGTAGAGATAAATTTGGTTAGTACCTAGTGTGAAGAATAGTGCAAAGACGATCCCAAAAGTCCATGATTTGGTGACCAGAGAGGTAAGCAGGATCATCAATATCAGTGTTGATACAAAGCAAATGACCAAAACCATTGCAATGAATCAAACCATGCATCAAATGTGAAGAAAGCTTCAAGCTTTTGCTCGTCAATGGCTCATTCCATTCATCAATCTTTGGTATTATCATATGATACTTCCTCTTCGATACATAGTGATGACCCCAACCTATAATATACACATAAACGATCAAAATCAAAATCGAAAATTTCCCAAAAACAAAACCTAAGATTATTTACCAACGCATCGACAGAAATCGCAGAGTGGGTTTGGAGAAGAAGCAGAGATTTGTTCTTCGATGATATAAAGAGGGAAAACGACGCCGTTTGCTTGGTTTCCAAGGAAAAGGGTAGAGACGGTGGCTCCGTCGATGGTGTAATCTTCAATCTCGGCGTATTCATGGAGGAACGATCTGATGTTGTCGCGGAAAGTTGCGGCGAGGTTGATGAAAGGTGATGATGATGAAGAAGAAGAAGGGATGGCAAAATCGTTAATAAGGATGATTTTGGGGTTTTTTTGTCTCTCCGTGAGAGCGTCGTCGTTTACGGTTATCGCCATGACTGGAAAAAGGACTACGAGAAAAGAGAGAGAGAGAGAGAATTGGTTTTATCATTGGGATCACGTGACATTGGACTGATTTGTTTTTGATAAGGGATTGACGGTTTTGCCCTTGTGGCGGCGATCGTTTTTTGGTTTGTTGTTGTTAAAAGTTAAAAGAGTGGAATTTCCGGTTTACGTGGGTTTGGGATCACGTGAGATTGGCCTAATTTGTTGTGACGGGACTCTCTTCTTTCGTGTGGTTTTGTGAATTGACGATTTTCGCCCTTTTGGCGGCGATTTTGGTTCATTGGTTTGTTTTTATTGCAAGAGTGGGAGTTCCGGTTGAAGTGGTTTTGATTCGGTTAAATTTGGTTTGGGACCACGTGACATTGGCTGATTTGTTGCGACAGGTCTTTCGTGGGGGTTTGAGTGAATTGACGATTTTGCTCATTTGGCGGCGATCTTGAACTGTTTTTTTTTTTTTTTTTTTTTTTTGGAAGAGTGCGAATTTCTAGTTTATGTGGATTGGTTTGGTTTAATTTGGTTTGCTGCAGTTGTTCTATTCATTTTCTAGCTATTTCAATTCCGACGAACGACGTACCGGAATAAGATATTCGTGATGTCATCATATAATTGATACATGTATGCATGCGATACATTTAGTTCGTTTAATTGATTACATATTTCTTAACTTGTGATGTGTAGTCATGTATTCTGTTATACATCGTTATTTTTCTCCCTAGATTTTAAACAATTTGGAAAATGTTTACATAGATCCAATGCACATCTCGGCTAGATATAGTAATGAAATGGATCAGAATTACAAATTAAAGTGTTAACCACCCTATCTCGAAGAGAAGAAGCAAATAAACTAAAAGACGATGATTTTAATTGGACCTCTGTTTTGTTTCGGATGGAGATTAGAAATGCTTACTCGTTCCTGTGTTCTCCATCTCTACCAGCAAGCTTTCGTCAACAGAGACTCTTACTAGCAACCGCACCAATCACCATAGTGTCTCCCAGAGAACTCTTTGAGTTGGGTTTCTTCAAACTCGCTTCCCATCGTTGGTATGTCGGCATTTGGTATGGGTTGCTAACATGGATGAACCTCTTTTGGAATCCTCAAGTTTTCCAACAACAACTTCGTCCTCGTCGATCAAGCTGGAACCCGTGTTTGGGGGACGAAGTTTCCGGGAGTTATTAGCTCAATGTTGGTTGTAGAGCTTCTTAATGATGGAAACTTCATTATCAAGAACACATGGGACAACGACACAGCTGGTTTCTTATGGCAAAGCTTTGATTTCCCTACTGATACTTTACTGCGAGGTATGGCATTGGGTTGGAATTTTCACAAGGGGATCAATCGATACTTGATGGCATAGAGGTCGGTTTCTTGTGTGTTCAAGAACTTTTTGTAGATAGACCATATACTAGCTAGGATATATTCCATACCTCAAATTTGGCATACGAAGTAGTGACTCCTGCGTTAAAACTGACTCAACATCCACAATTTGTACTTTTACACGTGTTCATTATCATTTTCTTATATTTTGATTATATTTTGCTTAGATTTTTCTTTTGTTTTGTTTTGTTTTTTTTTTTTTTTTTTTCAATTTTTGCCATATCCTAACTAATAGAGACCCAATAATGTATCCAAAAATGTGTTCAAGGCATTTAATTTAATTACATATCAAAAGTAATAATATTTTGGTCGTGAACAAGCCTCAAATTTTCCAATCAAAAGTATTAATATTTTGGTCGTAAACAAACCTCAAATTTTCCAATTATATATTTTTTTTTTTACTTTAATCTTAAAACGTTTTACTTATCTTATTCCAGAAATTAAAACATCAACAACCAAATTAGTTGATAAATTTTGGAAGTAATTAAAAACTTAATCAAATTATAAAAAATCAGATTAGTTTCTTATAATTTTTTTTTTGTATTCTAATTAGCTAAACTAAAGTTTTTAAATGGATCAATGGATAGAAAATGAAGATGACATTTACCAAACTTTAACTATTTTGTAACCGTGTGAACATCGGGAATTCGCTGATGATATAACATTCTCGTTATATATGTTATGTGTCAAGTGGGACTTTGAATGTTTCTAATAATTTGATAAATGGTCACAGAAAGTTAAAGATGAAATACATGAAAGGGTGTGAATTGGAACGTTGCATATGGCTTCATGTAAATAAGCTTTTTTCTCATGCGTTATTCTTTTGCAGACTCATATAAGATTTGTTGCTTTCTCATATAACTTTCTTTTATATTTTCAGAAAAGTTTCTTGTGTCCACGTAGAAAATGCATAAGTGGCTTCATGTTTTGGACAAGCATGTGGCAAACACGCTCAATTTTATCTGAAGTTCTGATCAAAAAGTTCAATACTCAAAACTATTTCCTCTTGTCTTATAGAACTTGTGTGGAAAGCATAGGATCTTAATCGGTGGATAAATTTTTCCAGATGAGGTCACAAGACTTTTAGCGGTTAGAATTAACTCATATGAGATGGTTCAATGTTGGAAAAAAAAGAAAGAAAAAGAAGATTAGAGGATTATTGGAAAAACTTTATATATCATCCCTAGCGACTTATTAAGAGTAATAAGAAACACTCAACATCACTTCAAGCAACTTCCAAAAGACATTAGAGTTTGCCCTCTTGAACTAATCATTTGTTTTGATTTCTCAAGAAGTTTTTTAAATACTTACATTAAATTAGTTATGAATTTTTCATGAATTTCTCATGAATTTTTTTTCCATATGAGGTATACATATAAGGTATGCCGATGCTCTTAGATTTAGCGTAGTTAAAAATTGATTTATAACAATGTATTTTTCTCTTCATTATATTAGAAAATGGCTTTCAAACAAGGGATTATTGTTGATTTTGCCCTTTTTTACCAAAATCTTTTGAAAATACCATTTTTGCAAAAATCTTATGGATTTGCCATTTTCTAACACTTAAAAATGTACGTATTTCAGATATTTTTTTGGTAAAAATACACAGTTTATACAAAATACTAAACCCTAAGAACAACCACAACCGACTAAACCCTAAGAACAACCACAACCGACTAAACCCAAACATAACGAATAAAACGCATGTTTCCGTAGCCTGAAAAAGGGCAAAATCCATAAACTATTCAAAAAAGGGCAAAATCCACAAATGCCATCACAAAAAATGGCAAATTCATAATTGATTCTTCAAATAATCTCTCTTTTTAATAGGGCTTGGAATAATACTTATGAAATATATACTTTTACTTACAAAAGAATTAAAAGGTTTTGTTTACCAAAAAAAAAAAGAATTAAAGTTTTTTTTTTGAAATTGTGTTTATATTTAATTATATGTAAGAGATTTGACACATTTTTATTGCAAACTCATGGAAACTTGTGGCATATTTACTTAATTAGTTTTATCTTTTGTAGCTTTCTTATAAATGGTAACAAATCAATAATTAAATAATATGAAATATATTATACTAAAATGAAACTCATTGAAAAAATTTAAGTAAATTTGAAACCAAATTACAAAATAACTCATTTGATGCATGTAATGATTTTTCCCCTCGTTCTTTGCGTATATATATATACACATATAACATGTTCCCACACTTCACAACTTTGATAAAAATCAAACGAGAGAGAGAGAGAGAGAAAGAGAAAGAGAATCGATCATCAATGTCGCCGGAAGAAGACAAGATTACAAGAATCTCTATCGAACCGGAGAAGCAATCACTTCTCGATCATCACACCGAGAAACACTTCACCGCCGGAGAAATCGTCCGTGACATCATCATCGGTGTCTCCGATGGTTTAACAGTTCCTTTTGCCCTCGCCGCCGGTCTCTCCGGTGCCAATGCTTCTTCTTCTATCGTCCTTACCGCCGGAATCGCCGAAGTCGCGGCCGGTGCTATCTCCATGGGACTCGGCGGGTACTTCTTCTTTCCATTACTAATTCCGTTTTAATTAATTGACACGTAAACTCTCTATAAATTTTTGAAATTATGGCTAAAAACTTCAGTTTATTAATCATATAAAACTAATCCTACATGCAAATGATGATTCATTTCCTACTTGTGGTATATATAATTACTACAAACATTTATTACGTATGATAAATTATGGTATTGTTAAAATACTAATTTGTTTTAATTTACACGTAACTCTTTATGAAATTAGTCCCACATCAATTTTGTTGGGTTTAAATTAGTCCTATAGATTAATTTACCCAAAAAAAAACAAAAAATAGTCCTAGATCATGCAATGATCATATACATGCATGTATCCATATATATGTAATCATTTTTTTTTGCTACAATATATGTAATCAATTTTCATATTTCGTCTTAAGTAATAATCATATTGTAAGAAAAATAGTGCATGATGTAACTATGAGTTTATTGCAAGATTAAAAATTAGAAAACAAATTTAGGTATTTAGCGGCAAAGAGTGAAGAGGATCATTACGCGAGGGAGATGAAACGAGAACAAGAAGAGATCGTGGCCGTTCCTGAAACTGGTAAGACCAAAATTACACTCAATCTAAGCCATCCATAAGAAAATTAACACAGTTTAATTACGATATGGATTTAAACAGAGGCAGCTGAAGTGGCAGAGATTCTGGCACAGTATGGGATAGAGCCACATGAATATTCACCTGTGGTTAATGCTCTTCGTAAGAATCCTCAAGCTTGGCTTGATTTCATGATGAGGTTAGTCTAACTAATTTCATTAGTATTATTTTATGTATATTATATAGTCTTAATTAAGGAGAAAATCGAGGGATACTTTTAGTTTTCTGCAAAAAGCTGAGCTTTATACTTTCCAGGTGTGGGCAAGATTCTATATGGTCCGATTTCCAATTTTAATATTTTTTTCCAACAAATAAATTACGTGAATATTAACAAACAGAAAACAACAAATTACGTGAATATAAAAATTATCGAATGATTTTGTTATATCACATAAATGTTTATATTCCTACTATAAGCATGTTACATTGTTATATAAGTGAAAGTTTAATTGTTTCATACAGGTTTGAGCTGGGATTAGAGAAGCCTGATCCAAAAAGAGCGTTACAAAGCGCGTTTACGATTGCAATCGCTTATGTTCTTGGCGGTTTTATACCTTTACTTCCCTACATGTTGATACCGCATGCCATAGATGCGGTAGTGGCGTCTGTGGTTATAACTCTGTTCGCTCTCTTCATATTTGGCTATGCAAAAGGGCATTTCACCGGCAGCAAACCCCTTAGAAGTGCGTTTGAAACCGCCTTTATAGGAGCGATTGCCTCAGCGGCTGCTTTTTGTTTGGCTAAAGTTGTGCAACATTAGCAGTAACAAAACTAATGTTGCGTTTGATGTATTTTTAATTTGAGACTTTGTTGTTGCATGCCTTGTGGCTAAAACTTGAGGCAACCATAATAAAGTAAGAGATAATAATTCAAAATATTTAGGATTGGTAACATAATTACTTTCCCATTAATAGCAACTAGCAAATTACAAATACATGACTTGTCCTAAGCTAACATTGCAGACACACAACTTTACTTTAGACTTTAATCCAAACAGTTTCAGAACCAATACGAGAAGCTTCCTCTTCTTAAGCCAATTCATGATGTTCAATATCGTTGTCTTGAAGATCTTTCCAAGATCCAAGATTCTTCATTAACAATTGATCCATACCCTTGTGTGATTCTGTGGTCTGTGTTGTTGTTAACATCACCTCTCTGTCTGAAATTTGCTGAGGAAGATAGACCATGTACCGCCACAGAAACAGGACGGTTAGAAGCGGATGATACATCAACCGAAAAGTGTTCATTTTGAGATCTACCAAGATGATCATCATTAGGAATCCAAACTCCAAAACTAGCAGAGTGATGATTATCTATTGGTTGACCATACAATGCAGCTAATGTCTGTGGATGTAATTGTCCTGAGGAAACCAGAGCTTGAATGTTTTCATATCTTTTGATTGACTCCGTGTCATTATTCTGCGAAGCTTCACCGCTTAATCGCTTCAAATACATTCGGAATTTCTGCAATGATATTGATTCAGTCAAAACCCTCATATAGAGCCTAGTAATAAAGATTCAATCAATCAATCAAACATGCCTGCAAATGACTAGCAACGTTTTCTCTGCTTAAACCGGGAACATTCATCAACTCGAGAATCCGCTTTGGTACAGCTTCTGAAACAACAAGAGAGATTCTTATAAGCACAAATTACTTTGAATTTCTATAAGCAATAGGGACTAGTGTTCAGGATCATACTGTCAATTTCAAGTTTGTTAACGGCATTAACGAATTGTTGATGCAATTCAATAGACCAAACAACGCGTGACTTCTTCGAGTTTCCAGGATCAAGAAGATCAAGATCATTCTCATTATCTTCTCTATCAACACTCCTCTTCTTCTTCTTCTTCTTCCTACGTTTCATCAAACTTCCCTCTGAGCATTCACTAACCGAAAAAACCGTCTCTAGACTACCACTGTTCTTGTTATCCTCCAAAGCTTGAGAATTTCGAAGCTCTTTCTTCTTTACACATTTCCTTCGAACAACATGTTGCCAAATGTTCTTAAGCTCTTCAGGACGAATTGGTTTAATTAGATAATCACAAGCTCCATGGTTGATTCCAGTCATGACTGTAGTTGTTCTTCCATCAACAGACATCACTATAGAACAGAGCAAATGTAAGAAACATTGATTGATACAAAGATTCAATCTTTGGAGACAAACAATAAAAACAGAGTCTTACTAATAACAGGAAGATCCAATTCAAGAAGACCAACTTGTTGAAGAAGTTTGTAACCATTCATACCAGGCATATGAACATCACTTAGAACCAAATCAAAAGAGTCTTTTCTTTCTCTTAGAATGGTTAACGCAACATCAGCTTGTGAGCAAATTGTAACTACAAAAAGAAGAAAAATGTGAACTTTCTTGAGAAAATCTATGGAAAGGTGGGAACTTTGATAAAGAATTAGACCTTGGTACATGAGACGGAGAAGCATCTTCTCGAGAATGAACAAGCATGAAGTATCATCGTCTACAAGGAGAATTCTTAACCCACTAGGAAACTGATCGTTGATCGCCATTAGCTTTCGTGTGAATATTGAAAACCCTAGAGAACTGAGAAAGAGATTTTGGGGAAGAAGAAGAAGAAATGATTGAAGACGTACTATGTTGAGTAAGTGTAGCCACTGGTTTGAAGAGAGAGGCAACGAAAGCGACTGGTAATAGCTGTAGTGGCACTCTGATGTAATTAATCCAATTGATACTACCCTTTATACACATGAGTGATGAGTCCTTAAAAAAAATCTTATCTAGAGACAAAGTAAACAAAATCTTTGGTCTCTCCAACGGTCCTCATGCACTACTATATCACAATGCTTATCACGCCGGCGAGTTTATGCGGTGGCATAGCCGGGTTATTCGTTTTCGGACAGAAAGCTAGAATGACGAAAATACCCTCGCTCACAAATTCGAATAACTACCGAAACACCCTTTTCACCGTCCCTCCGGTGGCGGAGAGAAGAGCTATGAAAGCATTCCGGTGCGGTGCTCGGAGAAGGGTGAGAGATGAGGGAGGTGAAGATGAAGATGAATTGTATGGATACAACGAGGAGATGGCGATGTTGGAGATATATAGCCAGTCGTGTAGAGAAGAAGCGCTTATAGTGACGGCCATTGTTGACGATGAAGAAATGGAAGTTGTAATCTTTAAAGGAGTGTCGGCGTGCTTGAGCGGAGAAACGGCGGTGGATCCGGCGAGGAGTGTGTTGCCGGAGAGAGCAGTGATTACAAAGATTGATAGAGTGAGAGGTCCTTTTGATCCTTCACAGATTCATTACATTCAAAAGGATATCTCTTTTCAAGCCTTCAAGGACACCAGATTCAAGTTCAACTAATGTTCATGAATGTTGCGTTTGGATCAATGAAAATTTCATTTTTTCACTATTACAAACCCACTAATAACTCTCACCTCTGTTTCTCAACTAATTTCAGTAAAAGCCAGTAGTGAAAAACTTAATCTAGAACCACTTAGTTATTTCCGCCGGCGTATGTAATCTCAAAATGTATCCTTCTATGTTTTTATATATAAATTCAGATGACAAAAAAAAAAAAAAAAGAACCACTTAGTTATTTAAGGTTTCAGGTTTCTTAAATCTATAACATACCTCAAAATGAGAAAGAGTTAAGTTTTTTGAATATCAGATTTATGTGTAAATGTTACAAGAAAATTGGACAAAGCTAAGATAGAGAGATAAAATAAATCACACACTAAGCTCAAATTGGTAGTAAAAACACAAACCTAACTCTTTTCTATATATATAAGGAAAACAATAAACATATCAGCCAAGAAATTAAAAATCAGTTTTTCTCTCTCTTTTTTACCTTGAAATCTTACTATGTTAGAGAAGAAGCACACAAACCTCCCATATTGGATTTCTACATTTGTATGCTTTTTGTCATTCCTTCAATCTATTAACCACTGATTGAGATTCATATTTTGCTCGTGGAATCGACTTCTTTGATCATTGCGTGCTCCTCGTCATCCCCATTCGTCCTGAGCCTCTGCTAAAACACCGATTATGCAAACAAAACATTCACGTATTAAAGTCAAAGAACTAACCTAACCATCTTGAAATCATAATAATTGGATCATTATAATAAAGTACCTTCCAGAAAGCAACTGTGCAGTTGTTGAAGCTCCTTTTGAGTTAGTAGAGGGACGTCTCGTTCTACTATCTGATCCTTTATTATCCACACGCATAGCTGAAACCTCTTTCTCCATTGCTGCTACTTCTCTTCGCATCTTCTTTGCTTCCACCTCCATCGCCTTTGTTAGTGTTTCAACCTTCTTGGCCAACATCTAAAAGCAAACACACTACCGAGTTATTTCCAACAGAGATTTATGAATAGATAGAAGCAAACGTTTCCTCGAAAGGTGTAAAACCAATGACTGACCTCAATAGCTTCGTCTTTATCTCTAAGGCTTTGATCTTTATCATTAGCAGCTTTCCTTAAAGTTATCACCTCCTTTTGAAGCAAATCATGTAATACTCCTGGGACACTATCATTATTTGTCGCTGCTGCTTTCACTGAATCTCCTTGTTTTGTTGAATTAGGTGACTCGCCTCCGCTTGTTTCTTCAGAAGATTGGTTCGATGGAAACTTCGATCTGGGTTCGTTTGTTAGTAGTTTACTCCTATCTAAAGATCTGCTGCCTCCGTCAAACGAGCTGGATGTTCCTTTAGCATGCTTCAATATTGTACTTGTACTAGCATTCAAAGATCTAAACTGAGAACTCGGTGTCCTCTTGGAGAAAAATCCATTTGCTGTCAATTTTGGAATAATATCAGCTCCGCCAAGGGATTGTCTACGAGAAGGCCCGTTGCTAATACTTCTTCCCTCAGGTGTCGATCGGTTGCCACTGCTTGAAGGCCCTCTTAAACTCTCTTCTAAGACTCTAAGCCGCAGTTGAAATTTCTCCTGAAAAAGTCAAAAGCAGCAAATCTAATTAAAGCCTTGATACATAAGACTAAGGCTATATTGATCCTAACTAAGATTCAAACCTTCAGCTGAGCTTCAGATTTTGCAGCTCGATCAGCTATGGCAAGTTTGTCACGTAGTTGTTGCATTTCTCCCTGTCCAAAAAGAAACAGGAAAATGGTCAAAGAATACACTTGGTTTCGGTGGATATGAATCACAACTCGAAGCAGTAACAGAAGCCCAAAAAGAAAATATCAAAAGTAACCTGCAGAAATCTTCGCTCTTCGAGCCATTGTTTCACAGGCATCACTTTGTCGCTACCATCTTTCCACTCATTTGCCACTACAGTTGCAACCCTGCTTGCACTTACTTTGGCACGAGCCAGTTCCCGGTCAAGGACTCGCCTCTCTTCCTAAGGAAAGGATTAATGGCCATAGCTATGATTAGCACAGGAATTGAATTTTAAGTACAAGGGTAGCAATAGGCTACTGAGGCACTATACGTGTAAGTTGATTATTACATTCATTTCTTGGAATTTCCTCTGGTAATCCCTCACTGCATTTGCAGCTGTACCACCAGCAAGAACAGCTTCTTCAAGCTCTCGTACAGTCTGGGTAAACTTTTCAACTTCTGCAACCTTTTGTCTGTGCAACTTGTCCAAAATTCTGTTCTCTTCCTAATTTAAACAATTGATAAACAAGGCATGCTCACGATAACGAAGGAGAGAGATCCAGGAATTTAAAGTACTGCTGAGTAAAGGAGGTGAAAGTAATACCTGACAAATTTCTATCTGTTTCATTAACTCTTGGTTTTTATTCTGGAGGTCATCAACCATTGAAGCCTTCGCAAGAGCAGACTGAACAGTTCTTTCAGCATCAAGCAAAGCTGCTTCCTTCGATTTAGTTAGGCGGTCCAATGCTCTGTTGTCGTCTTGAAGTTTAATGATCTACAAATGAAAAAAGCAATGCCCAGTTTTATAAAAAGGTTCCAAGACTCAATAAGCCAAGATATAAGAGATATAGTTGATTGAAAGGAAGTACAATACTTCATGTCTCGCCAACTTGAGTTCAGCCTCTAAAGGGGCGAGAATAGCTTCAATAGGAGGCATATCATCATCCTTTTGAGCAGCATGAACTCTTCGCAGAGTGGCTTCTGCGGCAAATTGAGCTGCCATGGAAGCCCTTTTCTCTTCGTTAATTTTCTTGATTTCAAGGTTCTGTTACAACATGTGCTATCATCAAATATAGAAAAGAAATTGAAAAATAAAAGGTAACTGAGGGAAACATTGCAAGCATACTTTACTGTCAAGAAGGTTTTCACTCAGTTTGAGCTTCTCCGACATCTTTCCCAACTCTTCGGTAAGCTTAAGCAATCAAATTAAAAAGTAGAGCGTCATCATATACAAAGATGGAAAAAAGGATGATATATGTAGCAGAGTGTATAAACTTAATATACATATGATTTTTGCAGGTACAAACACAACTTTTTTTCTTAAATCTAGCAATAACCAATAACGGGAGCCAAATCATAACAAATCTATTAAGAAACAGGGATTCAAGAATATATATAGATATGCTTCGTAGAGCGACTGATCACAGGCCAAACAAGAGTGAAACCAGGTTTACAAAGGAGCTGTAACAGAAAAGTACTACAGCCACATATCGGAAAACTAATCACGATCTAGAAAACCAACTCAAGAGTTATTTCGTTCAACCACCTATACTACATAATAAAAAACTCCAATGCAACTTGAACAAAAACTTATAGCCGAACGATAACAGCTTTTCAGAATCTAAAATTCAAACAGTGCTTCACAAATTTAACTTCTTCCTAACCATTGAGATGACCCAAACAAATAACCCACTAAGTAGATACACCGCAATTCAGACAATCTTAAGAAGGACTAACTAACCTCTTCAACAGCCTTCTCTCGTTGTCGTTCAGACAACCTCAATGCCTTGATCTCAGCTTGAGCTTCAGATAATTCCCGATCTTTATCTGAGCACCAAAAAGTCAATGTTTAAAACCAAGAAATGACACTCATGCACGTAAGGAAAACTTCAAACATATATCCAAAACCCAATTATACCAAATTACAAAATCAAAAATGTCAACGGAAACTTGAAATCAACCAATAGAATAAACACATCGAGTATACCTCTGACATCGTTCTCAAGCCTATTAAGCTCAATTTTAACCGGATCTGAGCCATGGAGTAAAGTAATGAACTCATTATCCGCGTCAAAACTCGGCTTCATTGACCTCCGTCGTGTTAAACCCTTACTTCCTCCTTCACGGAAAGACGATGACATAGTCAATGACGGTGAAGAAGTCCTCGCCGTCGTACCAAACTCACTCGCTGTTGGTTTTCCATTATTAACCTCAAACGCATATCCCCCTTCCTCCATTTTCACCGATCTATAAAGCTTACTTCTCTAATCTACACATCAAATTCCCAACTATCGAATCCCAATGAAAAAAAAAAAAAACACAAACGAAAAGGCACATACCTAAAATCAGCACATTCTCAAATCGAGAAAGCAAAATGTAGAAATAAGACTGAAATCGTCAAGAAGAATCGAGGAACCAAAAGGGTTTAGGGTTTGAATTTTGGCTTCACCGGCGCTAAATAGCTTAAGAGATTCTACAAGAACAAGAGAGAATCAGCAAGTTTTTTTTTTTTTTTTTTTTTTGAAGAAAAGGAGGATTTAAAAGAGGTTTATGGCTAATTTGGTAATAGTGATTTTGTGTGTAAAAATAATGAAGTCACAGCGAATAGAGAGAGAGATAATTTGCGTCACACACTTTTTGCTACTTAATTTGCTACAGCAATGGCACACCTTAAAGGGCTCTTAGCCTAATTTCTTAAAAATTTTAAGCCCAAATTTAATTCAAAACAGTTCTTAAACCCAAGCAACGTTTCTTTCTTTAGAGTTGTTTGGCCTCTTAAGGTGCGCTGACGTGGCATCGTTCTATTGGTTAGTAATCAAAGAAAACAAACAAAAAAAAACCACACCCGATTCATTTTTCTCGCATCTCTCTCTCTCTCTCACCTTGTTCTCTCCGTCGACGATTTTCTGAGAGATCGGCGTTGAGCTTCAGAAACCGGCGTATACATCATCAAATTGGAAGCTAAAGGCGAACCAAAGTTGATTGCTCTCGGGAGAGATCGGTGTCGAGCTTCAGAAACCGACCTAATCAATGCTCAAAGCTAATAAAATCGGAGAGTTAGTCGATTCCATGCTCCAATCGCCTCATCACGGTACGAATCTCTCTGTTTAGTTGTTACGGTGACTTTTGATTACGGTTATTAGCTGTAATCAAAATTAGGGTTTGTGGATTGAGATTTGATTTTCTAGAAATTAGGGTTTTTGATTTGTAAACGCAATTTTGGGTTATTGAATAGATAATCAGTCTATTAAACTGTTATTAGTCATGTTCTAAGACGATTGGTGCCATAGATTGTTTGTTTACTCCCGGACATGTTTTTGTTCAACAGAGAATCAGTCTTGTGATGAATAGGTGGTTTCTCTGTGTTTTCTGGCGTGGCAGAACGGACCCGTGAAGGCAATGACTTGTACAGAGAAATGATTGAGAGCAGTGTCATCAAGCTAGGCGAGAAACAGGTTTTCAATTGTGCAAGTGATGTAAAGACTGACCTAATGTAAAGATAAAGAAAGCACTTTGTCCTCCAAAATTGTGCAAGTGAGTTCTTCCTCTTTTTCTTTTACTTCCTGAGATGCTTTGAGATTAATGCATTTAGATACATCAGTTTTTTTATTTTCTGCTGTGTGATTAATGCATCTTTGATACAAAACGATTATGACTTGTTTATTTTCTGCTGTGTGATTAATGTAGTGAGAGCTAATTTTGAGTTCTTGAAGAAACTTGGAGTTGATTGGTGGTGTTTTCATAATTAATGTAGTTCTGTCTTTAATTGAATGCATTGTGATAAATGATTATGACTTGTTTAGATTAGGTTAAAGTCTGAGAAGTCTAAATCATACTTATTAGTATGTCATTGATTGCTTCTCTTTGATTGCTTCTCTTTGATTGCATATATTTGATTGATTGCTCTCTGTGATTAGATTAGGCTAGATAAAAGTTAATAATGTTATTGATTGCTCTTTGTGATCAATGCTTCAACCTAACATCCAACCATAACTTCAGTCGTTTTAAACACTGAAGCTCTTTTTTACACTAACTACTGAAGCTATTTATTTCCCTCACTTGTCTTCAAAAAATAGAGAATCTTAAACATAAACCAGAAAAAAACTTAATCTCTTTCCCTCACTTGTCTTATTAAAAACACAAACCAGAACCTTCATTGTTTGATATGGATTCAAGGAATCCATATACCAATCCTTCAAGCTTTGTAAACCTCTTAAGCAGTCAAGAAGATAATCACATGCTTCCACCAAATCAGTATGATGGCTTTAGCTTTAGTGCACCTTGGATTGATCCCAGCCAAGCTTAAGTGCCTGTTGCAGACCGCAAAACAAGACGCAAATGGTCACCAACAGATGATGTGATTCTCATTAGTGCCTGGCTCAACACCTCCAAGGATCATGTAGTCTCCAATGAGCAAAAAGCCACAACTTTCTGGCAACGCATAGCCGACTACGTTGCAGCAAGTCCCAAGCTGAAAGGTCTGTAAAAGAGAGCTCCATTATGCTGTAAACAGAGGTGGGCAAAGATAAATGAGGGGGTCTGCAAGTTTGTAGGAAGCTATGAGGCTGCAACTAAACAGAAAACCAGTGGCCAAAATGAGAATGATGTGGTGACCTTGGCTCACCAGATTTTCTTCAATGATCACAAGGCCAAGTTCACCCTTGAGCATGCTTGGAGGGAGCTTCGTCATGATCAGAAGTGGTGCGGATCGTCAACAAGTAAAGACAGTGGGTCAGAAAAGAGAAAAAGGGCTGAGGTCGGCTCTGCACAGGCCTCATCCTCTATGCCAATCAACATTGAAGAGGAAGAGCCACGTCCCACTGGTGTTAAGGCAGCCAAAGCCAAAGCTAAAGCAAAGACAACCACTGTGATTAGAGAAGAAGACAAGACTCTGAAGGAGTTACATTATATCTGGGAGATTAAGGAGAAAGATTTAGCTTTCAAAGAGAAGCTAATCAATGTTAAGGAGAAGCTTAGTAGGACTAAACTACTTGACACTTTGATGCTAAAAACAGAGCCTCTAACTGACATAGAGATGACTCTTAAGAACAAGCTCATAATGGATATGTTGTCCTAAGCTTAAGTTTGTTTTTATTTCTGTTTAAGCTAAGTATGTTTTAATTATCTGTTTTAAGTTTAACTATGTCTTTAGTTTCTGTTTGAAGTATGTCTGAATGTGTTTTGCTATTAATGAAATGATTTCTGTTTAAGCTATGCTTGTCTTCAACTGAAACTAAACTAACTTGAATGTTAACTTAAACTGAATGTTAACTTAAACTGAATGTTGACTTAAACTGAAAGAATTATCTGGATTCTCTTACTTTCATGCTTGTTTTAAACTCAATGATAACTAACTTGAATGTTAACTTGCAGGACGTGGAAAAACAAGCTCATAACTATTTTAAGATTAATGAATGAAGTTTGTGGTTATGTTTTAAGTGTAAGTATGTTCTATTAATGTTGTCTTAAAGTTTCTGAATGTTTTGTGCTTCTGTTTTAAGTTTCTGGTTTGTGTATGATGCAGGTGAGCCGACATCACTTGTGTAAGAGACACATGTGACACCAATGCTTTTGTGCTTTAGTGCCGACTTCACTTGTGTAATAGACAACAGTGAGACAGAGTTGTCTTAATGTTTATGCAAGTAAGTTTAAGTATGTATTTCAGGTTCTGTTTTAGTTTATGCATGTTTTTAGTTTATGTTTTTAGTTTCAATGTTAACTTATATGTATTTCGCTTCTGTGATCAATGAACTGAGTTTGTGTTTGCTGTTTTTATTAGTAATGTTTGGTCTAATGACTTTTATAAGTTCAATGTCTTAATGTTTTCAGGGACGTGGAAGACTATATATGGTTGTGCCGACATCACTTGTATATGACAGAACAGTTACACTTGAGTCTTTTGTGTTTTTGTGTCAACATCTCTTAATACACTCGTGACTCTCTTTTGTATTTTTATGTCGACATCTCTTAATACACTCGTGACTCTCTTTTGTAAATTGGTTTGAATGTATTTTTCTGTTCTTCAAGGCCAAGTGCTTTAGTTTCTCTATATATACAAAACGAACACTTCTCTTCTTCTTCTCCAAAACAATATTCTCCTTCTTCTTCTCCAAAACAATCTTCTTCTACTCCTTCTCCAACGCATTCTTCTTCTTCTCAATCTACATACAAAACATTCTACTTTGTCTCCAAAACATTCTTTTTCTGTTCCAAAACAATCTAAACCATTTATATAAAACATTCATTTTCTTCTCCAAAAAAAAATATACCATTTCTCAAAATGGGATCTTCTTCAAATTATAATCTCAACGAAATGTTGAACGATAAATTTGATCAATATATCGACGAAACATTAGAGAATTATGGTGATCGTCAACAAGTCAAGAAAAAGAAAAAACGAGCATATATTGAAAGAGATCGTGAACAAGGTCACATCCAGTTATGGAACGACTATTTCTCTGAAGATGCAACATTCCCTCCGCATATATTTCGACGCCGTTTCAGAATGAACAAGCACTTGTTCATGCGTATTGTTGATCGACTCTCCAATGAAGTTCCATTCTTTGAACAAAAAAGAGATGCTACCGGAAGGCTCGGTTTCTCGGCACTACAGAAGGCTACAGCAGCAATTCGTATGTTGGCATATGGTCATGCGGCTGATGCGGTTGACGAATATCTCCGAATTGGTGAAAGTACTTCGATGTCATGTTTACACCATTTTGTTGATGGAATCATCTATTTGTTCGGAGATGAGTACTTAAGAAGACCCACACGAGAAGATCTTATACGACTACTCCATATTGGAGCGGGACGTGGATTTCCCGGGATGATAGGAAGCATAGATTGTATGCATTGGGAGTGGAAGAATTGCCCCACAACTTGGAAAGGGCAATATACACGTGGATCCGGCAAACCAACAATCGTTTTAGAGGCTGTTGCTTCCCAAGATCTTTGGATATGACACGCGTTTTTTGGACCTCCAGGTACCTTAAACGATATAAATATTCTTGATCGATCACCAGTTTTTGATGATATATTACAAGGTAAAGCTCCGAAAGTGAAATACGTAGTCAACGGGAACGACTATCATTTGGCTTACTATCTCACAGATGGCATTTATCCTAAATGGGCTACATTTATCCAATCTATTTCTATTCCACAAGGTCAAAAAGCTTCTTTATTTGCTACAAATCAAAAAGCTTGCCGCAAAGATGTTGAACGTGCTTTTGGAGTTTTGCAAGCTCGATTTGCCATTGTCAAAAATCCGGCTCTTATTTGGGATAAGGTAAAAATAGCAAAGATTATGCGAGCATGTATAATTCTTCATAATATGATAGTAGAGGATGAACGAGATGGGTACACTCAGTTTGATGTCACCGAATTCGAACACCCGGAATCAACCACATCTTCACAAGTGGATTTCACCTACTCTACAGAAATGCCTTCAAATCTCGGTAATATGATGGCCACTCGATCCGAAATACGTGATCGGACTAAGCATGAACAACTGAAAGCTGATTTGGTTGAGCATGTTTGGCGACAATTTGGCATAAACTAAGCTAACAACTACTCGTTATTCCGTTTTTTTTTTTTGCTTTTATGCCTTCTATGTTTAAAATTCTTAGAAAATTGTAATATTTATTAAGTTTTATTATATAAAAATGTTTATAATTTTCCATTTTAAAAAATATATATTTTTTAAGAAACCTAGTTAAGGACTCACCATTGGACAAAGAAAATTTTAAGGATTCATCAAAAACTCTTAACTTTAAAATTATTGAAAAGTAAGATTAAAATATGTTTAAGGATCCTTTTAAGGACTCATTCATTGGGGTTGCTCTTACCATTTTCTTAACATTTTATGTATACTAGGTGATTGCCCGCGCAAATGCGCGGGAATAATGCTGTGAGAATGGTAAAATCATGTGAGATAAGGGATTGTTTAGGTGTTAGTGTAAGAAAATATGGTAAATTGTTTAGGGTTTAGTGTAATAAAATATGGTAAATGTTGAAATTAAAAAATTCAATAATATTATAAATGCTAAGAAAATAATAATAAATCATCTTCTAAACAAAATTGCAAGAAAATAAGAAATCAACGAACATCATCACTCCATGGCATTCTCCTTGCGTGTGATGATAGGTACTTGGTCGTTTTCAGGATTCCTGACATCCAATTTAGAACACCATAAACAGTAAATGTTCAGTCGCCAACTTTAGAGTTTTGATTATAAACGGGAAAAAACAAAAAATACTTACCAACAAAGCAACTCGTCGGTAATACTGAGATCCGGATTACGCATACCAAATTGTGACGTGGACAGATCCAAGTGGATCCTACCAAAAATGTGTGGGATCTGACCCCAACAGTTTTCAGGATTCATGACATCCGATTTAGAACACCAGAAACAGTTAACGTTCAGTCGCCAACTTTAGAGTTTTGATTGTGAACCAAAAAAAACCAAAAAATAATTACCAACAAAGCATCTCGTCGGTAATACTGACTATTTCTTGTCAAACTCATCAATCTGCAAATGATTTTTACGTTTATCAAGTTCTCTTTCATCGGATTGTAGAAAACCGTCAATTTTGTATCTCTTGTTTTGTTATCATGGTTATAGCCACACTCATCATTGAGAAAATAATTTTTACGTTTATCAAGAGTTCTTTTATTACGTTGCAGAAACACATGCATCAATTTTTTTTTTATCATAGTTATAGCCAAACTCATCAATCAGCAAATGATATTTACGGTTTTTAAGGGCATTTTTATAACGATGCAGATAACAGTCAATTTTACCCATTTTTCCGTTATAATGGTTATAGCAAAACTCTTCAATTAGAAAATAATTTATACATTTATCAAGAGCTCTTTCATCAGACAGAAGAAAACCGTCAATTTTGATCTCTTTTCTTTTTGTTATCCTGGTTATAGCCAAACTCATCATCAACAAATAATTTCTACGTTTATCAAGAGCTTTTTCATGAGGCTACATAAAACCATCATTTTTGATCTTCTTGTTTTTTTCACATGGTTATAAACTCATAAATCAGAAAATCATTTCTACGTTTATCAACATGTGTTTCATTAGGCTGTAAAAAAACTATTAGTTTCGCTCGTTTTTTTGTTATCATGGTTATAGCCTATCTCATCAAGCAGCAAATGATTTCTACGTTTATCAAGAGCTCTTTCATCAAATAGGAGAAAACCGTCAGTTTTGCTCTTTTTTTTTTGGTATCCTGGTTATAGCCAAACTCATCATCAATAAACAATTTCTACGTTTATCAAGAGCTTTTTCATGAGGCTGCATAAAACCATCATTTTTGCTCTTTTTTTTTTTTTATCATTGTTATAAACTCATAAAAAAAAATAATTTATACGTTTAACAATAGGTGTTTCATTATGCTGTAAAAAACCGTTAGTTTCGCTAATTTTTTTGTTATCATGGTTATAGCCAAACTCATCATCAGTAAATGATTTATACGTTTGACAATAGTTTTCTCGTGATCCTGCAGAAAACCGTCAATTTTGCTCCTTTTTCGTTATAATTGTTATAGCCAAACTCATCAATCAGCAAACGATTTCTAGGTTTATCAAGATCTCTTTCATTAGACTATAGAAAGCCGTCAATTCTTGGTTCTCTTGTTTTGTTATCATGGTTATAGCCAAACACATCAATGAGCAAATAATTTATACGTTTATCAAGTTATTTTTCATGAGCTTGCAGAAAACCGTCAATTTTGGTCATTGTTTTTCGTTATTATAGTTATAGTAAAACTCATCAATCTGCAAATGATTTCTATGCTTATCAAGTTGATCTCTTTCATCGGATTACAGAAAGCCGTCAATTTTGCCTCTCTCGTTTTGTTATCATAGTTATAGCCACACTCATCAATGAGCAAATAATATTTACGTTTATCAAGGGCTCTTTCATTACGTTAAAGAAACCAATCAAAATTTTTTTTTTATCATGGTTATAGGCAAACTCATCAATCAGCAAATGATATTTACGGTTATCAAGGGCATTTTTATAAAGTTACAGAAAACTGTCAATTTTACCCATTTTCCGTTATAATGGTTATAGTAAAACTCTTCAATTAGCAAATAATTTATACATTTATCAAGAGCTCTTTCATCAAATAGGAGAAAACCGTCAATTTTGCTCTCTTGTTTTTTGTTATCCAGGTTATAGCCAAACTCACCATCAACAAATGGTTTCTACGTTTATCAAGAGCTTTTTCATGAGGCTGCATAAAACCTTCATTTTTGCTCTTCTTATTTTTTTTTTATCATGGTTATAAACTCATAAATCAGAAAATAATTTCTACGTTTATCAATAGGTGCTTCATTAGGCTGTAAAAAAACCGTTAGTTTCTCTCATTTTTTTTATCATGGTTATAGCCTATCTCATCAAGCAGCAAATGATTTCTACGTTTATCAAGAGCTCTTTCATCATTCTGTAAAAACTTATTTTGCTCATTTTCCGTTATAATGGTTATAGCAAAACTTTTCAATCAGCAAACAATTTCTACGTTTATAAAGAGCTCTTTCATGAGACTACATAAAACCGTCAAATCTTCTCCTCTTTTTTGTTATCATGGTTATAGTCAAACTCATCATCAGTAAATGATTTCTACGTTTGTCAATAGTTTTTTCGTGAGTCTGTAGAAAATCGTCAATTT